CTGCTGCTGTTGCTGCTGCTGTTAATGTTGCTGCTGTTGCTGTTGCTGCTGTTGCTGCTGCTGCCTTTTCCGTTTCTAGCGCCTCAGCGTTGCCGCCCGTGGCTGCTGCTGCTGTTGCTGCTGCTGTTGCTGTTGCTGCTGCTGCTGGCATTGCTGCTGCTGTCACTGCTCCTGCAGCAACAGCAACAGCAGCAACAGCAGCAGCAGCAGCAGCAGCAGTAGCAACATGCACATCATCATTTGTAGTTTTCCCTCCCAAACTGCTGCGCATCTCCCTCCTGTCGCTGCTTCTGCTGCTGCTGCTGCTGCCACTGCTGCTGCTGCTGCTGCCACTGCTGCTGCTGCTGCTGCTGCTGCTGCTGCTGCTGCTGCAGGATGACTTGGGCGAGGGTAGCAACGTGTTTCATTTTGCTGCTTATGCTGGTGACGAGCAGCTGCTGCTGTCTTTGTGTAGAGAAGTAGCAGCAGCAGATTGGTTTCAGCTGCTGCTAGCAGCAAATGCATGCGGCGCTACTGCTGCAGATATAGCATTAAAGACACATAGAAAGGATCATCCTTTTGTTGCTGCTATTCTTGCTGCTGATGCTGCAGCAAGACAAGTATGTTGCTGCTGTTTTTGTTTTGTTTATTGTTTTGTTTTTTGTTTTGTTTTTTGTTTTTGTTTCGTTTGTTGTTTTGTTTTTTGGTTTGTTTTTGTTTTTTTTTTGTTTTTTTTTATTTTTTTTGCTTTTGTTGCTGCTATTCTTGCTGCTGATGCTGCAGCAAGACAAGTATGTTTATGTTGCTGCTGTTTCTGTTTTTTTTTTTTTTTTTATTTTTTTGCTTTTGTTGCTGCTATTCTTGCTGCTGATGCTGCAGCAAGACAAGTACGTTGCTGCTGTTGTTTGTTTTTTGTTTTGTTTTTTGTTTTGTTTCCGTTTTTGTTTTTGTTTTTATTGTTTTGTTGCTGCTATTCTTGCTGCTGATGCTGCAGCAAGACAAGTATGTTTTGTTTTTTGTTTTGTTTTTTTGTTGTTTTGTTTTTTATTTTATTTATTTTTATTTTCTTTTGCTTTTGTTGCTGCTATTCTTGCTGCTGATGCTGCAGCAAGACAAGTATGTTTATGTTGCTGCTGTTGTTTTTTTTTGTTTTGTTTTTTGTTTGTTTCTTTGTTTTTTTTATTCTGTTGTTGCTGCTATTCTTGCTGCTGATGCTGCAGCAAGACAAGTATGTTGCTGCTGTTTTTGTTTTGTTTATTGTTTTTGTTTTTGTTTTTTTATTTTTTTGCTTTTGTTGCTGCTATCCTTGCTGCTGATGCTGCAGTTAGACAAATACATTGTTTTCTTTATTTTTATATTTTTATTTTTTTATTTTTTTATATTTTTATTTTTTTATATTTTTTTATTTATTGTTGTCTTTATTATTATTATTGCTGTTGTTATTATGGTTTATGCTGCTGCTGCTGCTGCTGCTGCTGCTGTTCTTGCTGCTGCTGCTGCTGTTCTTGATGCTGCTGCTGCTGCTGCTGCTGCTGCTGCAACATCACCTGTCATTTATATTTCTCCTTTGTGCTGTTGCTGCTGCTGCTGCTGCTGCTGTTGTTGCTGCTGCTGCTGCTGTTGCTGCTGCAGCTGCTGCAGTACAGCGCATACACCTCAAGGCGAGCCCTGAATGTGCCTTTGCTGCTGAAGCTGCTGCTGCTGCTGGCAGCAGCTGCTGCAGTGCCGCTGCTGCTGCTGCGTGCTGCAGCATTTCCCCTTCTATTTGCTTCTCTTGATGCTCCCCCGTTGCTGCTGCGGTTTGTCTTCTTTGCTGCTGCAGCAGCAGCAGAACTCTATGCTAAACAGGTAAACCCTAAACCCTAAACCCTCACGCTTCTTCCTTTGGCCCTGCTGCTGCTGCTGCTGTTGCTGCTGCTGTTGCTGCTGTTGCTGCTGCTGTTGCTGCTGTTGCTGCTTGGTTTTGCTGCTGCTGTTGCTGTTTCTGCTGCTGCTGCAGTTTCTGCTGCTGCTGCAGCAGCATTTGCTGCTGCAGCATTTACACTTCTTTGAGCTGCACATCCATCCATTGCTGCTCCCGCTCCTGCTCCTGCTGCTGCTGCTGCTGCTGCTGCTGCTGCTGCTGCTGCTGCTGCTGCTGCAGGGGGAAGACAGCGAGGGTTTGTTTGTTGTGAGGATAAGCGCCGCCTGCAGCATTTGTTTTCTGTCTCCTGTTTTTTTTCTGTCTCCTTTTTCTTTTTCTGTCTCTTCTTTTTCTTTTTCTTTTTCTTCTCTTTCTCTGTACGTTTTTGGGGTGTACATACACCTCAGCACCTGCTGCTTGCATCCGCAGAAAAAAACCCTAAACCCTAAACCCTAAACCCTTGCAGCTAAACCCTAAACCCTAAACCCTAAACCCTTGCATGCATTTATATATATAGATATGTTGATGGATCGAAATATTTTTTTTTTTTTTTTGCTGTTTCCTATCAGTCTCATTCTCCTCTTCTGCTGCTGCTGCTGCTGCTGCTGCTGCTGCTGCTGCTGCTGCTGCTGCTGCTGCTGCTGTGTTTTTGTTTAGGTGTTGCTGCGGAGGGTTGCTGTGGCTGCTGCTGCTGCTGTATTTGGGTTTCTTACCGAATACAAAAGCTGCAGCAGCAACACTCAATATGCTGCCTCATGTCAGCACACAAACTGCTGCTGCTGCTGCTGCTGCTGCTGCTGCTGCTGCTGCTGTTGGTGGTGGTGGTGGTGGTGGTGCTGCTGCTGCTGCTGCTGCTGTTGGTGGTGGTGCTGCAGTTGGTGCTGTTGCTTTTGGTGCTGCGGTTGGTGCTGCTGCTGCTGCTGTTGGTGGTGGTGGCGGTGGTGATGGTGCTGTTGCTGCTGCTGCTGCTGTTGGTGGTGGTGGTGCTGCTGCTGCTGCTGTTGTAGCTGCTGTTGTTGCTGCTGCTGTTGTATTTGTTTGTGTGTGTTTCTGCGTTATATATTTTTCTTTTTTTTTCTTTTTTTTTGTTTTTTTTGTTTTTTTTTTGTTTCTTTCTCTCTCTCCCTCTGTCTCTATCTGTCTCTCTTTTTGTTTATTTGTCTCTTTCTCTTCTTTTCTCTCTCTCTACTTTTTGTCTCTTTCTTTCTCTCTTTCTTTCTTTCTCTTTCTCTCTATCTTTTTGTCTCCTTCTTTCTTTTTTTCTCTATTTCTGTCTCTCTCTATCTCCTTTATATCTCTTTCTCTTTCTGTTGTCTGTATATATATACATACATACATATATATATATATATATATATATATATA